GAGGTAAATCTCTCCCAGTTTTAGCCAAGAGATCAGCTTGATCATTCAGGACGTCTCCATTATGTGCTTTAACCTTTAGAAGATTGATATTAAGATTAAGCGAGTCTTGAGTATATTGGATCAAATTCCAGATTGTATAATTAGGGATCTTCTCCATTTTTCTATTAGAGAATCGAGCTTCCGTTATATATGTCTTGAAACCATTGATAAGAGCAAGACTATCCATATAAATGTTAAGAGTAGTGAAGCGAGGAGCAACTAGAAGAGCCGTTAAAAATGCATAGAGTTCAGCCCTAGTAGATGAAGGCCAATGTGATAAAGAGGCTGCAAAGGTATGATACTAGGAGTAATTATCAATACAGATCCAACCTAGGCCCATTTTGCAATCATCTGAGCCAGCATTGTTGAGTGAACCATCAGTGTAAAAAACTAAAGAGTTTGATCCTTCGATTTTAGATTGGATGGATTTGAGTTGGTTGGAGTGGACAGAATATATAAAAATGTGTCTAACCATATTTATATATAGCACAGAACGATCTTGTAGATCAATTTTTTATTGATCTACTAATCCGATTTTGACGAATTTTAGCTTGTTAGAATTGCCGCACTGAGGAGAATCAGAATTCAGTATTGTTTTTTGGAAAGTCGGCCTAATGAAAAAATTTTCTACACTTAAATTTCATTAAGTAAGAATATTTGATGTAGATTGCTAAATTGCGTAAAATTAGTTTTAATAATTGCACTTCAAATTTTTAATGAATATTAAATAGGTTTTGAGGTTTAAAACAAATACAAAATTATGTTTTTAGAATTCGTGGTTGGTGAGTTATAAGCTTTAAAGGTAAGCAACTCTACTTGCGTTTTTTTTATAAGCCACTGTAAATATCAGCTTTATAAAAAAAACTTTAGCTTTAATGACAGATAATGTATTAGCAATGATAGCTTGTAAGAAAATTATGGTTAATAAATTGGAAGAGAGATTTAAAAATCTTCATTTTTTATACTATTGATATGTAACACATATTTAAATCTTGCTGTATAAGAAAGACTTCAATTAGTTAATACTGCAGTAATAAAAATACAAAGTTTAATAATATATTTATGATTATCATCTCCTACCATAACTTTTTTAAAAATCTTATGTACTTATTTCTGGAAATTAATTATACTACTTATTAGGATTCAACTATATATTAAAAAAATTCAATTAATTATAACCAGCATTATAAATGTTTCAAACTGATAATTAAAAAGTTCAAAATTATTAGTTATTCTTTAAATAATGAAAATTCAAAGTATTAATATAAATTTTTTTTATTTGATAAATATTATTGCTTTTAATTTTTTATTTTTTTCTAATATAGGAGGCAGTTAGTAGAAAAGGAGGAAATCCAAATTTTGATCAAAATTTATATTATTGGACTATTTGGCTGATCTTAATTATGTGCACAAAATTACCTTAATAATTAAAATTAACAAAAATTTTGGATTTTCCTTTTTTCTACTGACCACCTCCCATATTTTAAATTATTTTTTTTTAAAAAATAAAGAATTTAATAACTAATTGAACATGCAATAAATCTTTTATTTACTTTAACTTATCTATATAAGATGAAATTAGATTTTGCTTTTAAGTATTTTGGAAAACTTGGAAACATATTTTAGCGATTCAGCATTTACTCAACTAATGATTGCTAATAATATTCATCATAAATTGGAATCATATTAGCTAATATTAGATTAAACTTTACGAATTAATGCTATTTTGAATTCTCATAATAAGCAATTCACCTTTAAAAATAAATAAGAAAGTGAAGATACAAAAAGATCATTTTAGAATTAGTTTTATATTGTAAATTACCTCTAGAAGAAATAGCAACAAATATTATTGATGATAATATATTTGATATACATAACTATTTCCATTATCATCAAAAAATAATAATAATTTTTCTATATTTAATATTAATAATTCAACAGCTAGTAAATAATCTTTAATATTATATAATTAATGTGATATTTATCTGTATCATTAGAAGATAAAGTTGATTCTCTTTTGTAATAGTATGCTCAAAAAAAATGAATATTTAATTTTAAGTATTATTGTATGTGATTATTTTTCTATACAAGCAACAAGTATTATTTCTGAATAAGCTTTTTCTATTGTAAATTAAACTATTATATTACATAGAAAACAGCTAGAGCAAGTTTATATTTACAATCTTAGATATGAAATAAAATATATAATTAAAATTAAATTAGTTGTAATAACATAATTTGAAGAATTATTAAATAAAGCTTTAAAATTTATATAATAAAGTAATAAAACTTATTTGTATTAATATTTTAATTATAAATCATTTAAGTAAAAGATCAGGTTCTTTAAAATTGAAACTGATTTGTAAACTAATTTTTAGACCAGTTTTCAGATTATAATAAAAATTGGTTCAGTCTATCTTAAAATAAAAGATCAGTTTTCTAAGACTAAGACCAAAATAGATCAGACTTATTCATTCCTACTTGTTATATTAATATACTCACGAATTCATTTGAGCATATACAGTTTGAAGAAACAGAAAAAGAAAAGGTTGAAGAATTAAAAAGAAGGAAAAAAGAACAAAAAAATTAAACAATATTAATATAAAATAACACATACCTATTCTGAATATTTTGTACCATAGTTCTGTATTAAAAAATATTGTAATTTATATAATTATTCTTTTGATACATAAATGTCAGTTATTATAAATTACTTAATATTAAAGAAACTATGAATTTTTTTCATGTGTAATAGCTTTTTATTACCAATTACTAAAGCTAAAGATAGCTGATTCACAAACTTTTTTCATTATAGAGATTTTCTGAAAATACCAGATTATGATGCCTACTATTTGTCAATTGAAAAAATACATACTTACAACTTTGCTATCCTATTTATCAGAAATATTTTCACACTCTTATATTCTTAACAAATTATAAATAATTACATATATCCTACTGCCTAAAAACAGTTTAAATGATAGCAAAACTCATTTTTTATGATCTTTCTTTCCTTTTAACTTAATAAAAGATAACATACAATGAATCAATAACTTGTAATTCAGATGAAAAACAAATAATTTTATTAAATGTATGTGTATATATTATATTGATCTATAATAAAATTTGATAAGTCACTTTTATTGAAAGACTATCATGTGAATTATCATATGATAATATTTGTTATAATTATGTGACATTATTACCTAAAATTTTCATTATTCTTTTTATCCTTTAAGAGTTTGGGAAATAATTCAAAACCCCATTTTAGGAAAGGCCTGGTTGGTATAATGAAATATTCTAATTGATTTTAATTGACGAAAAATTATTAAAATTCAATATTTATATTTTTTAGTATCACGTGTTCAAGAAAGAAGACTTGATATTAGATAATATCTGATAGTATCTTAATTATTATTAGAATTAAATAAAATAACTATTTAGTTTAATAGTATTTGATATATAAATTAATATCAGTTTTTAATAAATAATTTGATTAAAATAAATTTTTTATACTGTTACCGGCTAAAAAATTTACTATTGAAAAGTTAATCTACAAAGAATTATCAGAATTAATTTTATATTGATTATAAAATTAGATAATTCCTGATCTGTCTAATTTTAATATATCTCTTATATTTATTATAATCTGTTTAACTTAATTAGTCAGATAAGTCTAATAAGTCTAATAAGCATTATATTTTTAATCTTTCTGATATTTATTATCTCGTTGATATTTATTATTCTCATTATATTTATTATATTTATTATAATTATTATACTTTTTATATTTATTATTATTAGTATATTTATTATTTTTCTTATATTTATTTTATTTATTATTTTTATTTAAAATTAGTTAGTTTATATTATTAAAAATAGTAAAGTAAAATTATTATAAATAAAATAATTTTTTAATGATATAAAAATTAAGACTGTAACTGTCCTAATATATCAATAGTTTTAATGTTATTAATAAACTAAAATTTAATAAAGGAATCAATATTAAATATAACTATTTCTTCTTTCTTCATATCCTCTATCTAGGATTTAATGTGATACCCTATATTATTCTATATATTTTGGTTTATTAATTATAATTTTCCTATTATTTTGTAAAGAATTTGTAAATAAAATAAAGACATACATTACCGATTCAAGAATTTAAACTTCTTGAAATACTTATAGAATGTGAATCCTTTAAGATTGAAAACTTTGCAGAAGTTGTTTGTTTTGCATTATAGATAACGTTAACCAAGTTTTTGACAAAAAAAATGGAAGATTTAGATTTGATTAATAAGAATGAAATTGAATTATTATCATATGAGAAATAGAAGTAAAATTTCTATACTAATAATGCATAAATTTTATTAAGTAAAAAATTTTATTATTAATTGCATTTCAAATATTTCAAATAATATTTTTAATATTTATAATTATGAACTTTAAAAGCAATATATAAATTTATAATAAAGTATAAGTTAAGTTTGTAAATATTATATTTTTTAAATTTATTTAGTATAAAAAATAATAATTATAGTATTTTGACTTTTTGATATTTACAAAATAATTTATTATTATAAGTTAATTAATCATTAAACTAATTAAGCTTAATATTTAATTAAAAAATATATTATTATTAATAATAATGAATGTAATTTTATCTTAAATTATTTTTTAAAAATCTTTTGTTGAAATATAAAGTATTATATAATCTGATCATCTAATACTAATTTAGTTATATCTTCCAAAATCTATAATGCTAAAATTAATTTCAATATCGAAATTATATATAATCCTTTTTATAAAAAAAATTGGAAACCAAAAATATCTATCTAAAATTGCTTTTCAAAAAAAAAAAAAAAAAAAATTAAAGGGCGTATCGCTACATAAACTATTTAATTAAAGTGTATTTGAAAAGTCTCATGATCTCTATTTACCTATCGGTTTTGTTATTAAAATCACAGACGAATTAATAAGTTATTTGAAAACCATTTACTATAATCTAAACGTAATAATAATTGATCCAAATGTCTTGGCGGTCCACCGAAACCTTCTCCCGTTTTATTTACCCCAGAAAGTGTTCGAAACAAAAACATTACTTGTTCCCGAAATTCCTTTTAAAAGAAACAAAATTATAAGTCATACATGAAATTTTTAAAGACGCATCCGCAGATTCATAAAATTAAAGATAATTACCGCATCAAATTTGCCAATTTGTTCTAATCTTTCCTCGGTGTCATTTGTCCCATCCCAGCTTTCCATTATCATACAGAATTTGTCAACAATTTTCAAAGTTGTTCTAATGGATTCTGTGCACACGCGAGATTCAAGTAGACATCCACGTAACAATTCACCTATATATGAAGCGTGACCTAACCTGATATCCTCAAAATCACGTAGTCTTTCTAACTCGTTGCTAGGAGGAATCTGCTCAGTTATTGATGATGATCTTTGTCGTTGATGATGTGCGGAAGAAATAGTGATTCGATGAACAAGTTTTTGAAAGTTGGATTCAATAATATCCATCTGTTAATATATATAAGCAAAGCGTACGTATGTATAGTGATTAAAGGCGATAAATGAGGTGATGATAAAAAAATAAGTTAAACCTGCACGTGAGACCATAAACAATCTACAAAAAACATCATGGATGCGCGAACATTCCATGGCATTATCATCGTATTCTTATTTCTTTTAGAAAATTTGTAATTTCTATTCTTCTTTACATTGTCTGAAAGATGGGCCCAGACCTTTTGAAGTTTAAATTGGGTACGACGAAGGGAAATCAAAAATGAGAAAATGTCTCCGTATTTAGATAGATCTTCAGAAGTAACAAATAAATCAAGAGGCCAGCCAATATCGTATTCAAATCTAAGTGGAACACCTATTAGGATATCATCAAACGTGCTAATTGCATTTGAGGATTGTTGTTCATTTGTGTTTGGTATTTTAAATCTAAATTTTTCAAATGTCAAATCTTTTTCTGCTAATGTACCCACGGAAGCTCGAACCAATAAAGAATTCATTTCTTGTTCTTTAATCAATGGTATTCTTTTGGAAATAAGTCTTGAAGATGACAGGCTTTCAAATTGTTCAACAAGTGAAGTTGCAAAATCACCTTGACCGAGTAAGAAATAATTTTTAAAGGCTTCAAGACATTCCACAACTTTATCGCCCGTCAAAACTACTTGCCATAGCCATTGTGCAACATTATTACGAATAATATTAACAATTTTTTCGAGCTCAATTTGATGAAATATTTGTCTTGACGAAAGTTCCAATAAATATTGTAAATGTAATGAAGCAAGCTTATCCGGAAACTTGCTATGCTTCTCATATGGTTTGGTTGAATTTCTAACAGTTGCAATTGCTTTTCCAACGAATAAAATTGATTTGGCAACATCATTAGGAATATTATTTGAAAGAAAAGATTCGTCAAGTATAAAACGTCGATGCCATTTTGATTGACTAAATTGTTCTTGTATTTCGATTGGATTATATTGTAATGTTCTATCTTTAATGAAAAATTCTCCAAAAGGATCCAACAATTGTCCATAAACAATCCATGAAGTAATATGTTTATACATCACTTCATGACATGCATGCAGTAATTTCAACATGATTTCTCGTATTTCAGGCACACCTGTGTTACATTTATCAATGATCAAATTAAGTATTCGACAACCGAAATATTTTACAGGATTATGTTCAATGTCAAGTATTAACTGATTAAGATGTGGAAGAATGATATAATATTCACTAAAAGCAGAAACCAATTGTGAAATTGGTATAACTCCACCCATATTGTCTTCCTTGTTCAGAATTCTTATCTCGGATTCAATAATAGTTTTATGAAAGTCTGCTAACACTTCATTTATGGCGTTACATAGCGCGTGTATGAACGAGCCATGTGGAGTACTCTCAAGAGAGGTATCAATATCTTTCTGATGCCCAACAGAGCCATGATTCTCATTTCTGCCGCGTTGTTTATCAAGAAAATTGGTTAACTTTCGATAATAAAAGCCCAAAGCAGCAAGTCGTTCTAAAGAACTTTTTTCAGCTTCGTGTAAGAACGGGAACTCTGGTGGAATTTTAAATGTAGTTGCTGTTTCCGGTTCTGGAGGGTATGGAACAAACAAGTCACCAGAAAGCCCAGATAAAGCCAAGAGCAGTTCATGTAACATTTTTAAAATGAAAAGGCTAAAAGAATTACACCATGATCCTTGAAGTCCTCTGACAAGATCTTGTACAACGATCGACAATCAACAAATGAAAATCAACTATCACTGATTTATATAAATTTATTCAAATAAAAATAAAAATAAAAATTAATTAAAATCAATATAATATCGCGTCTAAACGATAATGTCATTTTGTCGTAATTCACTTTTGTTTACGAAAATTTCTCGTAATTTAAGAGTAAATTCGTTTCAAATCCTTTCAGTTAATAAGTTCAATCGACCTAAAATAAACACTTCCTTATATCGTTTTGTTTCAAACATTAATGATAATAATAAGTTTCCGGCAAGTGAAGAAAAGTATAAGGAAACTCTACCAAATTATTCTTCTTTGCTTGACACCTATCTTCCCTCTAAACTTGTACCTTATGCACTTCTAGCTCGTTTAGATAAACCAATAGGAACATGGCTTCTATATCTACCATGCAGTTAAGTTTAAAAAGAGTTTTTTTTTTTTTTTTTTTTTGACATTATAAATTTACCTCAATTTGTTGATTAGCATGGAGTATTACCATGGCAACATATCATACCCAATTGGCAGTGTCACAAACGATATATACGTTGGCATTATTTGGTGTTGGAGCTTTTATTATGCGAGGGGCAGGTTGTACGATAAATGATATGTGGGATAGAAAAATTGATAGTAAAGTTGAACGAACAGCAAATCGACCCCTTGCTTCAGGAGTTGTAAATCCTTTCCAGGCATTGACCTTCTTGGGAATTCAATTATCAGCAGGATTAGCCGTATTGACTCAATTTAATTGGTATAGGTAAGGAATTAAAATTTTCTTGAACAATTTGATTAATAATTTTAAAAAAATTCATTTGTTATTTTTTTTCATAGTATTTTTCTTGGAGCGACTTCTCTGAGTATAGTGACGATATATCCATTTATGAAACGCGTCACGTTTTGGCCACAATTGTACCTGGGTATGAAATAGACATTATCATAACATAATATTTTTTATGATTGTTCGAAACTTTAATTGCATTGCATGTAATATATCTATTTTTCAGGACTGGCTTTTAATTGGGGAGCTTTGTTAGGATGGCCTGCGATGATTGGCAGCAGCGAGTGGTCCGTCACGCTTCCATTATACACAGCAGGAGTTTGTTGGACGTTAATATATGACACCATATATGCTCATCAGGTGACATAGAATTGGATCTGGTATATACGTGAAATACGCTTAAAACTGATATTGCCATCATATATTCAGGACAAAAAATTTGATTCCTTGGTTGGTGTAAAGTCGACTGCTCTTCTTTTTGGAGACAAGACGCGACATTGGCTCACATTATTTTCGGGTTCAATGTTATCCTTTCTCATATTAGCTGGATATATGAATGGAAATGATTACCCGTATTATATTATTTCGGTAATGGGTGCTGGGTCGCACCTTGCCTGGCAGCTTCGGACCGTCAATTTTGATGATGTCTCCGATTGTGGCCGGAAATTTCGTAGTAATAAATGGACCGGGGCTATGGTTCTTTCTGGAATTGTGGCCGATATCATTTGGAAAAATTTAAATTCTGTTAATTAAATTCTTTTATTTATTTATTTTTCTATTTAGAGATTTTGTAATAATATTATATTAGAATATAAAAAAAATTATGATAGTTAACGTAACTCAATTTATTTACAATGTATTCAAAAGAAAACGCAAGATGTAATGATAATAATAATAATAAAATTCCAATTATTGTTAACTATTAATAAATCTGATTCATCTATTAGATGGGTTAAGGATATAAAGAAATATTATATTATGTACGGAATATTGAAGGAAAAAAAAATCCAGCATTTTCTTATAATAACACTATCCTTTGACAAACATCATTTACTCTCAAGAATTATAAAATTCCCACTCCCACCCCCACTCCGACTCTTCTTTTTGTTTATTAGTATTTTCGTTATCAGTACAAACTATCAAATGTCCCAACAATAATTGTAACCTTCTAATCGCGACATTTTTAAGTAATTCGTTTCGCAATGATTTATCGTCATCATTTTCACCCTCTTCTTTATCACACCAACGCGTTGGAGAAAACAATCTATTCCAATTCCATTCAGTTGTTGGTGAAGGTCTATAAGTTGATGTAATTGGATATGATAAGATGGTGGAAAAAAGGTGATCAAGGAGGTAAATTTGAGCTTGAAACAAATCGCAATGATTTGTATAAATGGTGATTGATTGTTGATTATAATTTACGTTATCATTTGATGAATTATGTAAAAATTCCTGAACAAACGAATTTTTTTGCGAAGAAGAGAAGGAATGTCGTCTCGTTCTAATATTATCGTGTAAACCATTTTGCTTGATATAAATCTCGGTGAAATGTTCATCACTCCATTCTTGTCGAAATTCTTCTTCCTCCTCTTTATCTTCTTCTGACATAAATAAACTAGTTACAAACTCTTTAGAATAATGATCACGACCATGAACTACATTCTGTTGAAACAAATTGTTCCATTCTCCATTATCACCATTTAACCATTCACTTTCTGGTGTAGATGTTGAACAAGAACGAAAAGAAGTTGAAGTATTTCTCTTCCCTTGTTCGGTATTTGATAAAAGTGTCCTAGGGGAAGAGGTTGTAGCAATACTAGCGTCTTGAAAGAATCTGTTTGAAAGATGTGATATTGGGTTATGTGACGACCCATTATCGACACAGGAGGATACTATGGTTGACATATTTTATCCAGAGAAGAATAATTAATGATAAAAAAAAATTTTATTTTTAAATTTAAAACTTATGGAGACATACGTGTTATATGATTTATCGTAGGTAACGCGGGTTATGTATTATGGCGGTTAGATGCATAATAAATTGTGGAGTATTTCATAATTGATTATCTACTCAATAAGGAATATCCTTTTATGGCATCATTATCGAATCGATGTCATATAGTTTGAAGAGGAGCCGTTGTGTCTATAGGTAAATGATTTGTCATAGAGTAAAGGAATCAAGTAAAGTGATTTAAAACGATACGCGGTATGATTTATAATTCATTTATTTCATATAATATCATATCATTTATTTTTATTGAATGAATGGAAAGTTGCGTGTTGTTTTGTTCATATGTATTCACATAACAAATTTTAAAGGCCCAAAATGTAAAATACTCTAATCAAATTTTAACTATTTAAATTTGATCTATTTCACGTTAACGATAAGTATTAGGATTTTTTTTATCTGAAAGTATTATTTATTCCCATAAAATTATTAATCTCATGTGAAAATCAGTTCAATATTAACTATAAAAAAGTACTATGTATTCACGTTCTATGTAAGATGACAAATATATTCCTTGAACACAAATATTACATAAAACTACTCGTAACAAAAAAAAATTATTTTCGTTAATTTTGCTCTACAATGTATTTTTTTCAATCGTAAAAAAGACATTTATTAGCATTATTATTCAATATATTTTAGCATCATTATTATTCATGCATTTTACATCACTAGATCGATTTCAAATAAATTTTTTCTCAATTCAATTTTTGGTGTAAATTTATGTAATATGATTGGCCCCAAATTTATGCATCAATTTTGTACATCGAATCATGAATTATATTATTTTTTTTTTAAAATTACGCCGATCAATTTTTTTTCTCACGATGAATTTTTTAAATCTGTCTGGGCGTATTGCAAAAAAAAAAAAAAAAAAAATTTCCAAAAAGATGACAAATATCATACATATCACCACCACTAGAGCAAAAAAAATACTAAATCCAATTCTCCCTTTATCAAATAGTATATTATATTAAATCAATGAATTCTTGCTTTTTCTTTTAGTAAATAATGAGATTATTTTTCATCATTGTTCAACTTTGAGAACAATTTAAGAATTTTTTTTTGCTTCTATTATTATCACGTGTTTCAACAACCTAACTGCTTTAATAAACAAATCTCAGTTAATAATATGTGAGTAAGCAACTACTATTAAAAATGTTGATTAATAATTATGAATTGCCCAAAATTGATGATCTCGTCTTTTTGTGCAATAAAAATTAATAATAATCCCATGAGTGATCGGCGGGAATCTCATCTAAAAATCTAATCAGATTAATCAGATTTACTGCATTTACCATAAACAAAATTCATTACAAGCGTAAAAATCTTTACACGTGTTAATAAATAAATTATTTGAAAGCAACTAATCAAATCATCCTTTATAATTTGATCAATGTCTTCAAATGATTAATTTTTTCCATTTCAAAAGGTCACTTCCTAAATCCAAACTCACATGGGATAACATTATCTTTCCTGAAAAACAAAAAAAGATTCACTATAATGAAATTTTATTATACATCACTAGAAAACCCCCCGCATTGACACCTTTTGAGATGGTTGGCGCATCCATGATCGGCAAGAGCAGTGTCGCTGCGCCATAAATATGTCTACCGACAAAAATTTCGCGAAATTTTTGTCGGTGCCACTGGACTAGTTTTGTTGAAATGGATGTGCACGAGTAGGAAAACGCGTCGCCAATATTACACGTTACCATTCAAATTTTTTTCCTATACATGATGTTCGTGAAATTTCTACAAGATTTTGAACAATATAAAAAAAATTTAAAATGTTATTAAATACGCGTCAACTCAACAATATTTTACTAACAAAAACTTTATCAGTAGACAGAACACATAGAACACGTCAGTTTCTACAATCCGTTTCTACACGATATGTAGCCACTGAAGGTAAAAATGGAAGTATGCCTTCTAATTTTCTAACAAAACCTGATCAATGGCTTAGAGAAATTACTTGGAATAAGTTCTTTACCGGTGTGCCACAACTTGACGCGTCAATTAGTAAAAGGCCAGAACATGACTTGAAAATTGAATCTAAAAAGCATACTATTGAAAATAAATTGGAAATGGGAAGACAACAGCTTCAGGAAGAACAATTCCAGAGTAAGCGCGTCGAATTTTTTTTTAACACTCGTGAATTACATCACTCGCGTGAACGCTTAATTATGAATTGATACTTTGAAAAAAAAAATTATTATTGTTTTCTTTAACAATTAGGAGTTATCAACGAAGCAGGAGTGGACATGCTTCCTGATTGGCTTTACAGCCAAGTTTTCAATCGTACAGCGCGTCCTATTCCACGAAAAAATCTTGTAAAAATATCTATGGAACATTTAAAAAAACAAGAACATTATAATAAAAAGACTGATAATATACCTACTATAAGCCAATTCGAATTACCAAAGTTGTGTGGGAAAACGATTTCAGAACATTTTTGGAGGATCGGAGAAGAGCAAGCACGTCCAATTCGAGACTTAGCAATGCGCCTTATTAGTACGGATTTATCTGCGATGCCATCCAAAACGAACTGGATGTTATCTCCGGGTTGGACGCGCTATGAAGAAGGAAAACTTCCTAAAGCTGTAGACTATCCAAGTGAAACCATTTTATGCTTTAATAGTAAAACTTTTGATGATTACAAGTACCCATTAATAGCTTGCGCCGCTTCTTCTACTGCTTGGTATTCTTGGATATCTCCCCGTTTAATAAACAATGATGTCAATGACTCATTATATCTAATTCCGATGGGGGACCTTAAAGGAAACAGATTATTCGTTGGACATGATGTTGGAATTGACCGGATAAGGGTCAAAGAAGAATATAGTTACGTCGGTTCAAATGTTAATTATTTAGACACCAAATCTTTACATATTGCAGTTGGAGGCATTTGCTCACGATTGCGAGATGATTGGAATAAATATCATAAGGCTATTGAAAACAAGGATGATCAATATTTATTACAGAAAAATAATTTTCAAAAAATTTATGATGTTTCTTCGGTAAGCGACTTACCTGACCTATATAAATTCTACTGCGGTAAATGTTTGGACGATCAAAGACGTGACATATTTGTCAAAGGGACATTTAAGGAACTTCAGAACAAGGAAAATTTACAACGAGCAATTGCTTCTTGTGCAAACAATGTAGAGGCAATACATCGAGTATTTCAAAGGCTATTTCCAACGTTTCTGGATGTTTGTCCTCATCCTGTATCAATTGCAGGAGTAATTCACATGGGAAGTATGTTTTTAACGACGAACAAGGATTGGGAAAAGTTTATAAGCAATAGTGAGGCAACATATAAAGTTTTAAATGATTCAATTGAATCAACTTTAGGAAAATTAGCTGATAAAGCTTTGGAAGAAAGAAACAAACATGACGAAGATCTATGGTTGAAACAATTGAATTGGAGAACCGATGGTGGTGATCATCCGGAATGGTATAACAAAATTTATAACAAAAAGTCAAAAAAGGTTCGAGTGACTGCTTTAAGTCAAATCGCACCAATTTTGTTGAAATTGAAATGGATAAATTACCCCGTTCATTATTCAAAACAATACGGATGGGTGTATCGTGTCCCGATTGGGGATACAAATTTTATAGCAAATTCGAAGCCGCTCGAATTTCTTACACAACCAGAGCACGTTCACTATGAGCCTCGGTATTTAGAGGATCAAAGTGGATTGTATTATTGCATACCAAATAAAGGTGGAAAAAATAATCGATGTGGAACTCCACTTGCTAAAAAATATATTGGGTGTTTTGAAAATGGTACTTTGCAATCTGATTGTAAAGAAGCCGAAGAAATTCTGAAGTTTCACGCGGCCTGTACCTATTGGATTTCTATTCGAGATAGAATTAAATCTCAACTGATAATTTATCCTGGTAACTCAGGAATAAACAACTTTGGGTTCGATTTGAGTGATGATGAAAACATTGGAATACTTTTACCGAAAACTATAACGATGGGAACAATTACGCGACGTATGGTTGAAAATACCTGGGCTGTTGCAACAAATCCCAAGGAATATTTGATAGGTTCCGAGCAAAGATCTATGATCAAAGCACCTAAAGGATACAAAATAATAGGAGCGGATGTTGATTCACAAGAAATGTGGATATCAAGCTTGATAAGTGATGCGGAGTTTGGATTTTATGGTGCTACTGGACTGGGATTAATGATGCTTCAAGGTAATAAATCTGATGGTACAGATTTACATTCCAGAACAGCTAAAATTTTGGGAATATTACGAGAAGACGCTAAAGTTTTCAATTACAGCAGATTATATGGGGCCGGTATTAAGACAATTTGGGAAATGCTTGAAAACTCCCTCGTCAACATAAATATAGAAGAAGCTAAGGAGAGGGCGAAAATTTTGTTCAATAAAACAAAAGGTCAGAATTGTTATGATTTATGTAATAATGGTCGTAGATTTTGGTTCGGAGGCAGTGAGACTTACTTGGCAAATCGATTGGAAGAAATCGCAACTTCTTCGGAACCTGTTACTCCAGTCTTGAGATGTGGGATAACTAATGCGTTGAAATCTGCAAGTGTGAATCAAGGTTATATGACCTCGCGTGTTAATTGGATAGTTCAATCTTCGGGCGTAGATTACCTTCATTTGCTTTTGGTGTCAATGAAATATTTGATTAAAAAATATAATATAAACGCGCGTTTTATGATATCTGTTCATGATGATTTGCGTTATCTTGTAAAAGAGGAAGACGCATATCGCGCTGCATTGGCACTTCAAATTAGTAATCTATGGACTAGAGCAATGTTTAGTCATATGTTGGGTATTGAAGATCTTCCCCTGGTACGTTATTTAAAATGGCATAAAAAAATAACTTATACGTATTAATGATTTATTTCATCTTTAATAGACTACTGCATTTTTTGCGGGCGTAGATATCGATCACGTGTATCGAAAAGAAGTTGATATGAAATGCTCTACAGTTTCGCATCAGAATGAAATTGATTCAGGAGTTTGTGTTTCAATGAAAGATATTTTGAAACATCAAAAAACATTACGGCGTGATGGGTGCAAAGAATTATTTGAAACTGATTCTATAAGAAATATAAAACCTTATGACGCGTTTTTATGGAAGCCATATCAACCAACAAACGATGATTTATATCTTAAAGCTCAGTCAATGTCATCTATTGAAGAAATAAGAAATTTATATGACCCCAAAAAGAACAATTCGGTCGCATCAATACCACGACATTTTATGGAAGAGCAGAATAGTACGCATACATACCAAAAATTAACCAAGAAAAAGCGAGTATTTGAGCCATACGTTGAGATATCAAAAGTCGAGGGACAAAAAAATAAAAAATCGAGGTAATTTTATAATATGATGACATTCATGTTAATGTTTTATGACGTGTTTTTTTTAATCAATATCAATACCAACTTTAGATTAAAGGTGGCATATTAAATAAAAAAATAATAATTTAGCCAACATCCAATTTGTTTTTGAAGAAATTTTCATCATTGTTTTTTTTTAAAAAAAAAAAATAAACAATAATTAATTAAATTGAAATACTTTCGGAGCATATTAAAAAAACTTTTTTTTGTAGTAGTAATCCACAACCAAAATGGTATTAGATCGATTTTGATATGACCGATCCATTCAGAATTATTTTCCGAAGCTTAATTCTAATTGGTCGGATCAGTTTAATTACTTAATTACAAATTAGATTGAAAGAACTTAACGAAAATAATTGTTTTCAGGGTCCTGTTGTATTGATCTTAGTATTATGAGCTATAGTATCTTTGTCAATCTGAGGCTGATCAAATTTATTTTCTTAATTTAGTTAATGCGATCTTGTGCTTGTATTTTCTTTTTACAATACTATCGATATAACGATAATGGGCTTATTTTTTTAATAAAACTATTTCAAACAATTAGAAATATTTCTACATTTACTAAATATAGAAATACAAGAAATGATGCGGCCAAAAAAAGTACACTTCCACGGGACTCCACACCTTTTCGTATTACCTAATTACCAACCATTTATTTGTCTATTTACAAAGTAACGTGCATATCAGATATGCTTTTTCAGTTTTCATCAAGACGCGTTTCTCTGTTAAGGCGAGTTTAATTTTTAATTACTTTCAACTTAATCGTAAGATGATTAAAATCTGCAAAGTCTTGTGTAATCTACCTTTTTTTGTTGAGTATATTCTCCCCAAAAGAAGGCGAGGATGGTTCTTCGTTATACATCTTTGACTGTATAAGTAGTTTGCATAAGAGCTGTTGCATATTTTAACTTGTAGGTTACCCTTTTTTGTGGAGTATATTACTCCCAGAGAAGGCGAGGATGGTTCTTCATTATATATTCTTTTTATTGAGTAATAAGTAATCTACCTAGTTATTTATATACAAAATTATATTTTTTAATATGCGAAAATTTTCGCTTAAAAGGCTGGCTATACTCTTGATTATAATATAATACTTTATGATACTTTATAAGAATTATATACTTTTAACATTAACTGACTTACTATTATTTTTGAGATGAGAAGAGACAGATGCAACTTCAAGCTCTATAAAGAGGTTGATAATAATAAATGCGAAAATGAGAAAATTGGAAGTTCTTCTCATACAGACTGGGGATTTTTGACTTTAGTATTACAATCGGATGATTCACAGGTACTTCAATTATTTCATGATAATTAATGGTGGGATATTTCTAGTAAACCAACATCAATTGTGGCAATACTCATGATATCACAGTGTGAAGAAGTGTTAGCAAAAAAATACTAGAGAAAAAGCTTTGGACAAGACATTGCACAATTAAGGTGGGAATACTTATTCGCTCGGTTGTGGCAGTACATTTACAAGGAAGCGTCTTCAGAGCTATAAAGCAATACCTAGTTAATATCTTTTCATTTTAGGGTTTGGAGGATCTCTTTAGCATCATGAAGATATAAATGATTATGAAATAAATATTAAGAAGAAGCTGATGATGAAAAAACAGAGGGTTTAAAGATATTTTAAAAAATAATCAGCTGTAAAGTACTTCGCATGTATTTTATTTCACAGACATTAATATAAATACTCATATATCCTTACATTATGTAATTTATTTTAGCAGTCCCTTTAGGATCAGGTTTAATGTATTGCAAATAAAAAAACATTTAGGGTATTAAGTTACCCGAGTAATATCAATTTTTTTTCTCGTGTGAGAGTAATTAGTGTTAGGGTTCTGCAATTTGATTTGATTCGATCAAATTCAAATCAAAGAATTATTTATTTGATCAAATTCAAATCAAGTATTCAATCAAATATTTGATTTGATTTGAATCAATAGTAAAGCCATTTTCAAAGCTTTAGAAGTGGTTCTTACTAAGAAAATTATAGTAAAATGCGTCTTTGCAGCTTCAGAAATGCCTTTTTACTAAGAAAACTATAGTAAAAAGCGCCTTTGTAGCTTCGAAAATGCCTTTTTACTAAGAAAAACATAGTAAAAATGTCTTCGCAGCTTTAGAAACGTTATTTTACTAAGAAAATATAGTAAAAATGCCTCCGCAACTTTGAAGACGCTATTTTATTAAGAAACTTAGTAAAAAAACACGTTCGCGGCTTTGAAAACGTTTTTTAAATAATAAAATTATTACGAAGCTGAGATAGCGGTTATTACTAAGTTTTCTTAGTAAAACTGAAGCTGCGATGACGGTTATTACTAAGTTTTCTTAGGGAAGTGCCAAAAATTACATGATTAAGGCTAATATAAGACATGACCTCCTTCCCTTCTGATTTGTGCTATGTCAAATAGATAATCTATAAACGAATCTTTTTTTTCAACTAATTCTCCATTTTGTATAAAGTTTAAAAATTTTAAATATGTAAAGTTTTTTTTAACAAAGATGCAAACCTTTTTAACAAGTCTGAGGTTTAATAAAAAATACTTTTACAAAAATCCAACACATTTATATCATGAGTTTTGTAATGCATGGACATACCATAAAATGATTGAACTTTCAAATCCAAACCCACCAAAACAACAACTAATAGAGTAAGCAAATATTATGTGAACTGAAGCAAAAGGAAAGAATATAAACGAAATTAAAAATGCTATTACAAATTTTCTAAATACTTCAGTTCCATTAACAGAAAATAGGTTTTAAGTTTTAAATTTTAAACCAGTTCGTCATACTACACCAAGGCTTATACAGGTTCGTTCTGAACTTAATAAGGAAAATCAAATAGCACCAAATGCAATATCACAACACAGTGCTATTAATAAAAAGGAATTTACATAAAAACATGTAACAGAGTATGCTACTATGCTTGATATTACAACAGATAGTTCTATGCAGAAGCATCTCATACATCAAATAAATACAGAAAAACAAATAATAATACAAGAAGATAAATAACTTACCCATTTGAAATAATATACAAAAGCACAAGGAAAACTTCAGGAACGAAAATGTCAATTATTAGAAAATAATATTGTAGAAAAGTATGATTCACCCGGTAGACCCTCATATTTTCTTAAAAATCCAGAA